TATTTATATATATATATATATATATATTTATCTTAGATCTAATCATTTCCAGCACCTATATTATTACAAGGATTATCAGATAATTAATTTTTTTAATTGATATTTACACCCAATAAGCTTTTTTGTATATTTAAATTTTGAATGTCTGGCTGTCGTTTTTAAAAAATGATTATTATAATTATAATTTATAATATTTGATCGTGGTCGGTTAATTTGCTTCTGAATATTTTTGGGATCAATAAAAAGCTTCAAAATAATTGCAACAGAACTTATTATCAAACGATAGAGTGAAATTACGAGTATACCCTTGTTTTATCGATTAATTGCACATAATTTGCCAAATACTCAGATACCATGAAAATTGATTATTACAACATTCACTATTTTGGGTTTTAAGCTTTTCATTTCTTATTATCTTGGACTACATATGGCAATAAAACTGGTTGAATTTGATTACGAGTGCTACAATCTTCTGTATTTTTTATGTATATATATAAATACTGAATTTTAAATTTAGATACAGATATAAAAACTGGTAAATTACTATGTTTATGTGCATATGTGTGTTTTGATGACGATTTAAGTTGATAAGGATATCGAACAAATCCAAAATTGAAGTTACAATCGTGATTGGATGAAAGGCAATATGTCTATTTCAAAACTAAGATTAGATTGACGTTCATATCGATCTTGACTTATAAAACGGTGCTTTTCTTAATAGGGTCCCTTCACAATGCAACTTGGTTTTCGGTATCCAGTTACTGTCATATGTTTAGATAGTTAACCATTCAATAGGTTTCAACACACCCTGTGTAGATTGATGTGCAGTCCAGGAGGCTGATTTTGCTCGTTTTGGACTATCCTGTTTCTGCTCAAGATCGTCTGATTTGTGTGCTTTTTGCTTCCTTTGATTATGTTTCTTAGGGATGTAAATGAGTCAAGCTTTTAACGAGTTACTCGATCTCGGGATTAATAATTATTGAGCTCGAGTCGATCTCGAACACAAAATAAAACTCGCTTAACTTAACAAGTCGAGCTCCATAACACCAATGTTCGACTCGACTCGTTCGAAAGATCGATTAAACTTTACGAGTCGGGGCGAGCCATTCGAGCATACATTTTTTCGAGCCAAACACATTTATATGCTTGCAAACTATATAATCAAAATATAAAAATTATCGAGGTTGAGTAAATAAACGAGCTAATTGATCTCAAATTCAAGTTCAAACATTGAAAAAATATTTGAGTTCGAACTCGAGCCCGATATTGAAAAATTAATCAAGCTCAAGCCTGATATTATTTTTCAAGCCAAACTCAAATAACTTGCTACTCGGCTCAACTTGCTTACACCCCTACTGTTTCCTACTCGGGTTTTGGATCGTCTTGGTTCAGCTCATTTTTATCCGAACTCTGAATTGTGGTCCTCGTGTGGGTCCATTGGAGCATGGGCTTCTCGCATTTGGTCATGTTTGGGTTGTGTTTTGATTCTGCATCTCTTGGTATTTCTGGGTTGTGTATACTTCTTAAAAGCATTTCAAGTGGTTAAAATGATGCTTTTCACTCACAACAATTATCAAACAATCGTTTTTCATAGAACACGATTCCGAAAAAAAATCCTCTAAATCTTCCGGTTTGACAAAAAAAGTCACACTCGTAAAATAACAACAAAGATGAGTGAAATTTCAATATAAAATTATTCAAGAAATCAAATGGCAACCGACTACGATGATGGCACACGAAAAACACACTAACATGCGTAGCCAACGACACCAAGATTAAGGAAAGGTGGTCGAAAAAAACTCACTGAGTTTTCCACAATCAATGTGGATCATAGTTTCTTAGAAATCCTTCGCCTAACAAATCTCGGTGTCAAAGAGACGGATCGTCACTTTTGAAACAATTGCACGAGCAAAAGGTATGTAGCTCAAACTGTACCTGAAATAGTTTCTATACTGGTTACAATTTTTTTCATTCTAAGAAATCATTGTGTCCACATTTATGGCATTCAGGATGCTTTTGGTAATGTAGGACAGGACAGAACAGGACAAAAACCTGTTGTGTCACGTTTGGTGCGACAATAGACTGGAACAGGACAGATTCTAAGTGGGACAAAATGCCCACCAAAATAGATAGAACAAAAATCAGGAAGATGAGACGAGATTGGTAAATTACTAAACTACCCATGTCAAATTAAGACCCTAAACCAAAATTCTTCCACCCACCTATATCACTCCCTCCCATCCAGTCATGTCCCGTCCATTATAGTCTGCATACCAAACGCACCCTGACCAGGGAACAAGGTTGCATGAAAGATGACAAGCTCACCAGATAAGTGCACATATCTCACATAATATAGCCAGGATGGTTAACAGCTTACTGTGAATCTGCAAATGAAGTCAAATCTCAAAATGGATGAGTGTCAATTATGGTTAAGGTCTTAAGGATGTTCATGTTGTAGCAGCGAAGGAGGTTATCTTGTCAGGTTGAGTTTCTTACCCAAAGAGCACAAATGAGAGCTAGAACAACGAACCCAATATAAATAGCCGTGGCATATATACGAACTGAATCAAACATCATTTGGAGTTGTCGTGTAGCTCCCATAAGGAAGCCTGTGCTGTGAAATGACGAAAAGAAGTTCAGAATAAATCAAACAGTTAACTAAAGGGTCAGCTTAGAAACAAGCGTGCCTTTTGTCGAATAAAAATTAAAAAAAATTGCATGTAGAGTCAAAAAATGCCCATAGTTCCTTTTGTCAGCTTAGAAACAGGATGCCCATAATTCCTTTTTTGGCAAAATTTTGAGATGACGTTCCTTTTATTTTGGTCCACAAGATTCCTCTATTGTGTCGTTATTAAAGGGCGCTTTAGACATGTGATTGATAGTTATTGAACTCCATGTAGAGTCAAAAAAATTGCAATTTTAATGAGATGGAGTATATAAACATTTACAAGAAAACAAGTCCATCAGTGCAATCTTAAATTCATTGCATGAACACCATTTTGCATGATCTGCGGTTTGGAATTGAAGCATGTTAAGTTAAAATTCTATACGGGTTTCTTTTAACTCCAATTCCAAGCCACAGAACTGAAATTGGAAATCCGAGAGACAACTTTAATGCTACTGGCTCGACAAAGTACAACCCACCTTCCAACAGCCAACAAGTTGCCAAAGGTAAATAATACAGCAAACTTAATCGGTATGGCAAACACAATCGTTGACTGCAAAATGACAATTGTATAGATAATGTCAGAAGTGATCTAATGATATCAATCTGGAACTGAAGATTGGTAAAGGGAGTCGAACAACAAAAAGCTTGATTTCAAGGAGTTACAGAATCATTTCTAAAAGCTTGTTCTAGGATAAGGACAAACAAGCAAAAAAGTTCTTGGTCATGATCATGAGGAGAAGATCCCTGAAAAGGAAATCTTCAACATATCATAGTAATTATTGATCAAATAAGGCAATAGCATGTCAAACTTCTCATAATCATTATGGAATGAGAGATTTTGTTAGTGTTATTCAGCTTGCATTCGGTTTTCCAATGATAGCTTGATACATGGTAAGAACCTCCATTATGCCAACAAGGACTATATGATGAGTATAGTGCACCTGGCTCCTTGACTTTCTAAGGATTGTGTAATAACCAAAAAAAAAAAGAGAAAGGAATTGTTAGTTGTTGAATTTCAAGGACTTGTAGTGTAAATCTATCAAAATGAAGGGTTTAGACCCTAAAAATTGANCAAAAAAAAAAAGAGAAAGGAATTGTTAGTTGTTGAATTTCAAGGACTTGTAGTGTAAATCTATCAAAATGAAGGGTTTAGACCCTAAAAATTGAATGCGATTTAATGACAAGAAACCCAAACGTCATGAAACTTACGACCATTTATTATGGCTTATCGTTTCATATTCCGTGAAACCGCCGATGGGACTTGGTATAAAATGGGAGTTTGTAGTTTTATGTGTAGTTTGGGATTAAGAAGGAGAACTATTGTGAGAAAAGGCGACGGTGGACGCTGTAATGAGAGTTGACGATGATCTACATCGTAGTTAGTTTAACACAAATCGAGGAGACGCTAGCTACTTCAAAGATCGGTTTGGGCTACGCCATGTATTGTGAGTTACACGTGATTTTTATTTTTTTAAATGGTTGCATGCCTTATTTTTGATATGTTATATATGCGTGAAAAGTTCGATATTTTTAAAATATGTGTTTTGA